GAACTTTGCCATTTATACGCATGTGTCGTTATTGTTACTCATTTTATATGTATCATTTTTTTTAATTTTATGTTCGTATCACTTTTACATTTATCACTCCTCGAGCATTATTTGTGGTACTAAAGTATTGCTTTCTGATGTGTTCACCTCCCACAATAATGACTTTCACAACCTTATAGGTCAACTTGCTAGTTTAGATGAAGCGGCATTACTTAAAATTCAAGATACTCGAGCATAAGTGAAGTCAGGTGCGGATTTGAGTATTTACGAATAGGATTCGTTCAAAACCTTCTTCCAATGCTGTTATTCTTGTTTTAAGTTTAATTCAACAAGCTCTATCCAATGGTATATGCGGGTTTCTCATAGCTCAAAATACGCTTCGAAAAATCCCAAAATACTTGAAGTTTATCGTAGGACTTAGATATATATATTTCAGTGTAACCGCACAGAATTCGCTTAAAAACTTGTTCCAAAGATCATATTATCATACAAACTATAACTCAATGAACTCTATCCAATGGTATAATTAGATTTTCCATGGCTCAAAACATTCTCCAGAAACCTCACAACACTGAAATTTCACTATGCCGATCTTTGAATACGTAAATTAATAGTTGTTCACCTTGCGGACGAATCTGTTTCAAAGTTTTCTTTCTTATGCAAGGTAACGGCTAATACAAGCGTATCGTTTCATCTCTTATTAGATTAATCTTATCTAACCTGCGAGAAAAACCATTTACCAGTGCCTGTTTCATATTACATGGAGAGACACCAGGTTTTCTAAAACAAATTTTGTAACGAGTTTTCACGGATATATGGTGAATGGAATTCACTTAGTGAGTTATAAACCATTAACCAGCATATTGAGATTTTTGGTGATATATTTTGAACAGTCAGTAATCTAAATAGACTATTAGAAACAGCTTATGAAGTTCTACTTGGCACAATAATAAGAAATTTATCAGTTTCTTGAACTAATATGAACAATTGTTATTTTGTAGATTTCAAGATCCTAATAGTGAAGTTTCAATATTGTGAGGTTCTCTGAGGGATGCTTTGAGTTCTGAAAAAGTTAATTATATCATTGGATAGATCTCATCAACTTGTATGTGAAATAAGAATAGCAATATTGGAACAAATTTCTAAATGAATATTACTCGTAAATAGTCGAATATGGACTCCACCTGACCTACGTTTTCAAGGGATTATGAGAGCAGAGATTGAAATTATGATTGTTTTCGCTGTTTACAAAACTGAAGCATGTCAGAATTGAAAGTAACATTCGAATAAAACGAGATATATTGGTTTTAAAATAAAATGACTTTCTTGATTTTTAAAGTCATCAAAGTCATTTTAAGTCAATTAAGTCAAAAAAGTCCAAAGTCAGTCGTTTTCCCCTTGGAATTACCCCAATTGAAGTAATTTGGATCAGCTCGGATCCCCTTCTTGCCATTTTCGCTATTACTTTTTTAATAGTGCATGCTTTTTCGGAGATTCTTTCGTCAGTCGATAGAAGACACTTTGATCTAGTTATGATATAAAATTCACTTTTATAGGGCGTATAACGGATGAGAACGAGCAAAATCAAGATGAGTTTTCAAATTTTTGATCCGAATTATCCCAAACGACTCTATATGTAATTATAATCTGGATGTGGGGTGTGGGAGCGCGTGTTGTTGAAGACAAAAAGTGCACTCACTCAAACACCACACCCACATCTACACACCCACGGCCACACGCACATCCGCACCCACACCCACACCCACATCCACACCCACATTCACACCCACACCCACCCACACTCACACCCACACCCACACTCACGTCCACACCCACCCACACCCACACCTACACCCACACTCACACCCTATTTTCAGAACAAAGAGATATCATGGAGCGACGAGAATGAATGCCATTAACGAGATCAGTGATATTATAGAGAGAGCCCTCTTATGTCAGGAGATGTCTCTCCTGACATAACAGTTTCGGCAATAATTACTTGCCATTTGAAAAACGATGAAAATTTAACCATTTAATGTAAAAAGGATGTTACTGCTTTAATTTTGAAAACCCGTTCGACAACTGTTTCAAAGAAATCTCATCATTTATTTCATGTAAAACATGTACGATTATGTTAAAAATAACGTCTTAAGGCGTTTTCATTACCGAAACAGTAGTATCGTTTTTTTTTCGTTAAATTCTTAAATTTTATCGATTTTTACATATGTCCTGTCATCATGGCTGATTATATTCCTGCTACATTTGTAACATGGACATCAATTTTTCCAACGGAAAATTCCTGTCAGAGCGATTTATGATTGTTTCTAATTTCGGATCAGCGCAATCTACAGCAAGAATAAATGAAAAGTAAAATTTACTATTTTCATTCACGCAGTTCACCGAGCGTATTGTCCCACATTGAACTACGATCAGCGTGTTAAACAAAATCATGAAACATAATATGATTCACGACAGCAAGCAATTCAAGTCTTCGGTTCAAAGAATCAAAAGAAAATTACTATTTGTGCTTTTTCAGAAGAGGTTCAAACCATCAGACTTAAGTTACCGGTCGAGTCATGTTCGTCTAATTCACTTACGAAAACTCTTAGTCAAAGAGATAATAATTGAAATCAGATCATTCCTTTTACTATGCAAAAGTTCTGTTTTCCTTAGATTCATAAAGATCTGGACAATTCACTACAAAAACTCCCAGTTTATTTCAATTTAATTTCTAAATCGAGTTGAATCCAATTGATGTATTTGTTATAACCTAGGGAATCGAAGTTAATCCAATCAAAAGTCTTTGCATATGAGTTACATCAAATTGACTCTAGTTTGTTTGAATTGTCGAAATATGAGTAACAGAGAAGCTAGCTCTTTTGTTTGGATGAAAATTCTGAGTATAGAGAAAGAAAATCCTTGTCTTTTGACGAATAGTGTTACCATCGAAAAAATCTACGATTTTTGATGACTAGTTGTTGCAAACACTGTTACTATTCATCTCTAAAAGGGCGCATGTATTTGATTTGACCGCGACGCTGTATTTAGAAAAGCTTCCTAGAATCTATTCACTTTTGTACTTCATGACTCTTTTTATCCAGAACAACAGTAACGACAATGAAACTGCCCTAATTAGAAATATATAATCATGCACGCATTTTCAAAAATATGTTTGATGATAACAAACAAAGTGGTTCAGTTTCAAATTCTTGTGCCTGTAAATGTGCGCATGTAGTGAAGTACGTTTGGAAAACTTATATAATTCAAGTACCATATCATTATAATTGATTTCTAAGACTGTCTTGAATTTCTTTTTATTAGAATCGACTAATTTTGAAATGATGCAAGATGCAACTCATGTCATCTTGGTCTCGAAGTGATGTTCCTTCAAGATAAAGGTTTGCTTTCAACAGCGACAAATATAAACGTTCTCGAAAGTCGTTTAAAGAATTATCAATAACTATCATAGTAGCCTTCTCTTCCTATCAAGCGGTTCTCAAGGCTACCTAAATCAAAAGCTTTCCTAGACTCACAGCTGCCAAGTTATGCCTTTTCCATAGATAAGAAGAATTTCAACTGCTCAAAATGCCATGATGTTTTTCTGTTTTGTTCTTCTTTGTTCCACCAACGATAGCCTCCATACTTATTGGGGTGTGGGTGTCAGTATGGTAGAGGATTTGAATGTTCTCCGTAACGATGACTACACCTCATCCACATACATCCTCAACAAGTGAAAAAATATGTTTTAGATTTTAGACTTTGTTTTCGTCTTATGCTGTTCCATTAGGACCTTTATATAAGGTGCCAATGTACTCTGTCCCGTTCCAAAGTAACGGGAACCCACTTGAAAATTCGTTTCTACACGTTTTCAAACATGTCGAGATGTTCAGGCATATCTTTTATTTGATTTTGTAGAAGTCACCATGTGTTCCCGGGATCCTATGAATGGAGTCAGAGACGGACATCCGTCACTGTGAACAAAAAACATAGTCATGTAGGGCTGGAGTCATCAGCCATAAATAGAAAAGAGCCTTTATTAAAAGAAGAATATTTTTGACTCTAAAATACGTAGGGATAACGAGCAAAAAAAAATGAGAAAAGTAAAGTAATGAAAAAGAAAGGTCAGAATTTTAAATTTTGTCATGCAAAAAAATGAAACAAAGTTCTTTATGTCGATTGTCGTCGCCGTTTATGCGTGTTCTTCATCTTCCTGTTCACCACCTTCACCCTCTTCTGCAATAAAATAGAGAAGACAATTAAGATATAGATAGAATACAACCAGAAATGTACTAACCTTCAGCAGTGGCATCTTGATATTGTTGATATTCACTGACAAGATCGTTCATATTCGACTCAGCTTCAGTAAATTCCTGCGAAGTCGAAAACAAAAGGCATGAGACTATAAGAAATATGAAAAGTATAGCTTACCATTTCGTCCATGCCTTCACCAGTGTACCAATGAAGAAATGCTTTACGACGGAACATAGCCGTAAATTGTTCCGAAATACGTTTGAATAATTCCTGAATTGCCGTGGTATTACCTAAAATATAATAAAAAACGGAATATCATAATAAAACTGAAACAATTTGTTCTTTTTGAATTCTTACCAATAAATGTTGCCGACATTTTAAGTCCACGTGGAGGAATATCACAGACAGCTGTTTTTATATTATTCGGAATCCATTCAACAAAATAAGATGAATTTTTATTTTGCACATTTAACATTTGTTCATCGACTTCTTTCATTGACATACGACCACGAAAAATAACAGCAACTGTTAAATATCGGCCATGACGTGGATCACATGCAGCCATCATATTTTTTGCATCAAACATTTGTTGTGTAAGTTCAGGTACAGTCAATGCACGATATTGTTGAGAACCACGTGATGTTAATGGTGCAAAACCTGGCATAAAAAAGTGAAGACGCGGAAATGGTACCATATTGACAGCCAGTTTTCGTAAATCAGCATTGAGTTGACCGAGAAAATTGTTTAAGTTATAGAAAATAATGTATATTAGTCGGAAATTCTAAGAAAAATTTACCGGGAAATCGAAGACACGTTGTTACACCTGACATTGTAGCTGAAACGAGATGATTAAGATCACCATATGTAGGTGTTGTAAGTTTAAGTGTACGAAAGCAAATATCATACAAGGCTTCATTGTCAATACAGTATGTTTCATCTGTATTTTCGACTAATTGATGTATTGATAATGTTGCATTGTACGGTTCAACAACAGTATCAGACACTTTCGGTGATGGTACAACACTGAATGTCATCATGATACCTACAAGAAAATGAGAAGGATGGAAGTTCTCGTATCACTCTTAAGAATTAACTTACGATCCGGATATTCCTCTCGAATTTTTGAGATAAGCAATGTGCCCATGCCCGAACCAGTACCGCCGCCGAGCGAATGTGTTAGTTGAAAACCTTGAAGACAATCGCATGATTCAGCCTCTTTTCGTACGATGTCCAAGACTGAATCGACCAATTCTGCACCCTCCGTATAATGACCTTTGGCCCAATTGTTACCAGCACCCGATTGTCCTAAAATGATTAGGAAACATGAGAAAAAGTAGACAGAAAATATTTATACTTACCAAAGACAAAATTGTCCGGACGAAACAGCTGACCAAATGAACCACTGCGTACTGAGTCCATTGTGCCTGGCTCAAGATCGACGAGAATAGCACGTGGTACATATTTGCCACCTGAAACGAAAGAGCAAGAATATAGACGTATTTTGTTTTTTTTCCTCTACTCACCAGCTGCTTCATTATAGTAGACATTGATACGTTCAAGTTGAAGATCCGAATCGCCATGATACGTGCCCGTGGGATCAATACCGTGTTCGTCCGAAATCACTTCCCAAAACTAGAAACACATCGAGATTTTATAAGAACATATTCAATTCAAAAGATATCAACTAACTTTGGAACCAATCTGATTACCACATTGACCAGCTTGCATATGAACAATTTCACGCATCCTTTTTTTTTTATTTGTGTTGAAGATGAGATGAGCGAAGTAGATGATAGTTAATCTGTAAATAGGTATGATAGAAGAATCTAAGCTTTCTGATAGAAATCTAAAATATGCGACAAAATAAGAATATATAAGAACATTTTTCAACATCAAAAGACAATAGGAAATTAAAATGAAAAATCCTAGTTGAAAATAGTAAAATAGAAAAAAAACAGTATCATTCTGAATTTGAAATGTCAAATCTGTTTGCTAGATTTGTTATGGCAAATTCTATACGATGAACTCTGTATGGTTAATTTATACTGTATAAATGTATCGTATAAAATTACCAATTTTGTTTACTAAGATACTTTGCCATACAGAAAATGACATACACTTCGTGTTGTGTAAACTCTTTTAGTGATGTGGGTCGTAAATGTCTTAATAGAAAAGAAAAAAAAGAAAATCTTTTGCGATCATGGAGCATTGAGAACGAATTTTTTTTTTCTCTCTTATAAACAATTGCGCAGTAATGTATACTCTGGAGTCCGCGACGGAATGAATAGTCATTTTACGTCGTTATTTCTTGAAGAAAAGATCATTACGTGCATAATAGTGGCAGCAGATTTTTCTTTTTTTTTTTCTTTTGTTTCAGCCATAACAGTTGCAGACCATCACTTGAATTCATCGAACAAAATTGCTGGGCAAAATATTCCTTAGAAAATCTACCATTAGAATTCATACAAGTTACGTAATATATGATGCAAAAGTAATGGGGCAAATGTTGGACCCTATTTCTCCTCCATAGAAAAGTACTGAAAGAAAACTTTTTTACCAGATGATAGAGAATTCTCCCCTCTTTCGAATCGTATGCAGTTAATTTTTATAGCATGTTCATAAGCGAAACGATGGAACAGAAGAGAGAAGCACTCTTAAAAACAACTCGCACTCTTCTGTAAAAGACTGCAAAAAAATGTCGATTCTTACATTTCTACGATAAAAAAAAATTCTGAAAAGAATATTTTTTAATCAAATGATAGGCAATTAACTTTTTCTTTCGAACAGTGTATCATTCATAATTATCCCACATTAGTTAGTAAACGAGACGAGAAAAGAAAGACAAGCATTCATGTAATAATTTCATCATTTTTATTTGACTTCGTTAAAAAAAATCTTGTTGACGCCATTTAATTAAAATTAACTGCCGGTTTACAAGATGTTTTTAACAAGTTTACAAAGATCGATTCAATTGTTGTCGAACAAGATGTTCTTGACGACTCATTTAAAAATTAGAAATTTATTGCGCGAGTGTTTCTCTTTTCTTTCTCGTTTCATTTCATTTAAGAATGTGTGATGAATATAAATCGTACACTGTTCGAAAGAGAAGAAAATTTATTATCAAATGATAAAAAAATATTCGCTTTAAAACTTGTTTGTCGAATAGTTGTAGAGAACAAGATTTTGTGCCGTTTTGCTGAATCTCACGAAAAGTGCAGATTGTCTTTAAGGGTGCTTCTCTTTTCTGTTGTGTAGTTTCGTTAATGAACCTGTTATAGAAATAATTTACATAAGATTTGAAAGCGGAGAAAAAGCTCTATCTTTTGGTACAAAAAATTTCCATTTCAGTACCGTTCTATCGAAGAGAAAATATGGATCGGTATTTTGTCTCATAACTTTTGCATCATATATGATATGCATATTCTATAGTTCCAAACGTTGATCAATCAATTTCAGCATATTTTTTGTGAGGATTAGTGTATTTCAATACTAGTAGCTACAAGCCTTATGATAAGATTAGTAGATAGCATTCCGTTTACTGTCACTTTCTTGTAAAAATCAGTTCACCAAACCATCATTTCAAATTTCGGAAAATTTTTCTCGTGAAATTACCTAATTTTAACGTTTGGTACGATGCATTCTTATGCTACTTTTTTTCCTCGCTCCATTTCTGTTCTTACATAAATTGTTTTCTTTGTACATACCATTCAAAAGAGACGAGAATACGCTACACAATGAGATACTTGTCTATTTAAAAGACATGGCGAACCTTGAGAACATACCAAAAGTAGAAGTTTTCCAGAATAGTGATGTGTCGATACGTGAGTTCAATAAGTCTCATTTTTCTCAACGCAAGCAAGATGGTGGGGTGTGGGTGCGGGTTCACGTGGTAGTGTTGGGGTTGGTGTTAATCTCCTTCGGAATTACACCAACAACCACACTCACGCTCACGCTCATAGCACCAATGTAATGCCTCTGGACATTCTGGTACTAGTTCCGCGAAAAGCAAAGTTCAAGTTCATTTAAACTTTCGATTTTTGAAAAATGATGTGCTATCTATCGATCATTACCTTTCGATAAGATTTGTTGGTCGATAAAATATACGATGCGATGGTTTATTTTAAATTACACGCACTCTTACCATTCAACAGACGACGACAAAAATTTGTTCATTTACTCATCGAAAGCTCTCTGTGAATCTTCATTCTATATGCATCATATATTGCTTTGTTTGGAAACTCACGAGAAATTCCTTTGTCGCTAAATTCTTTGTTTTTTTCAAACGAAGGAAAAATTCAATGTCAAAAAACTTATCTTCACTTGATCTTTCAAACAAAAATAAAAGCCATTGAATGTATTGAAGTTCCTTCAAGAATTCAAAAAAGGAAAATCAAAGACAGCATATATTGAGAAGCAGCACAAAGTGATTTTCTTCTGGGAACCATATTTTTCAAGTATAGACAACGACAAATTTTGATAATAACGACTTTTCTCAACAGAATTTGAAAATCACATTAACTATTCTCAACATAAACCTCTTCAAAATAAAAGATCTGTAGTGCTGTTATTATATCTCAACATACAACGCTACCAAAAGGGTCTTCTATTGTGTTCAATTTATTTCCATAAGTTTTGATTTAAAAGTTGTTTTTAGAATACCAAAACGATTTTGAGATTTTGGGAAGATATTTTTAGAATTTAACAATTCTGAAAAAGCGATGATATCAGTCTTTTGCGAAATCAAGTAAAGAAGGAGAGTGTCTTATAGTGACTGACGAACCATTCTTTCCAGAGGTCTTCTATAATGATTGGATTACTTGGGAGCAAAAAGCTGATGCTATTTTTATTTTGATTAGTCCAGATTCTAGAAATAGAAATCAAGTCAATATGGTATAAGTTGAATTGTTGTTTGAGTCAAATGAACAAAGAAAACATGTTGTCCAGTATTTGAACTCAATAACGATCTTTATGAATAATTCGATGTTTTATGATAGAATTTTTTCCTAGAGTACACGCATGAAAAGTCCACTTAGGTCTAACTGAATATTTTTTCGATTTTGACCATATCACTAGTTAAATCGCGGTCGAAAATAGACGATGAATAAGATGAAAAAAATTATTGAAGTCAGATATTTGAAGATGAACAGCCTAACTTTAGATATTCACATTTTTCTCGATCTACTCAACGACTGTTTTCTGTTGTATGCTAACTCGTAACATAGTCACAGTCGGCAAAAGTTTTCTCTTGAAAACATGGCACAAAATCAATAATATATTACTACAAGAAGATGCATTTATTAATACTCTCAATCTTACAACAACATCAATCACTGACTTAAAGCTTGATCGATTTTGTACTTATATATTACCTCAAACTCATCATTGTATCAAAAATCTCATTCTCGATACAGGGTGTCTCATAAGTTGTGGCAGATTTTTTTAAATCTAATTTTTGATGATAATGAATACAAATTAAACTCAAACTTATACATATGACACGGCTTAGCATGTACTTTTATTTCATATATTTTATTTGGATTAGATCATTGAATATACAAGAAAATAAACAAATTCAATGAACATACCCTCCATTGACAAATATCAAAAGTCTGCATTTTTTCGCTACTTTGTTAGTTTTTTCTCCAATTACTATTCCTATGGGAGTAAGTTTTTACAAAAGAAATCACACATTCTGATAGCACTTGAAATGCTCTATGATATTATGTATTAATACAGTGTCTTAAATTTAAGTAGCGAAAAAAAATGCAAATTTTTTGGGCTAGTCGATTCGGAGTATATTCATTGTATTCAATTTTATTTCAATCTATAAACGCAAGAAAATAAGTAAATAGACAGGGTGATAGAGAATTTTAAGCTCTATCAGAATCTATAGTTACTTTTTCATACAGATCATTCTATACGGATGAAAAATTTTTAAAACTAGTTTTGATGACGAAGGAAAGATCAAGTCTGGGAATCTGGACATGAGGGTGCCTTCGTTGTCTTCAATTTATTTTGGTAATGAAAAGGTCAAAACTAAAACCTAATTCTACAGAATGATAGAAAACTCCGCGAGCTTTCAGAATATGTAATTAGTTTTAAAATAACTTATTTTTATAGTGACAATATATGAGAAATACAGAGTGAAACTTTTGTCGGGGTATATATATTGTAACACATTGATGGTGTGCTTATTTTGCACATGTACCAATTTCTTTATTTTTTTGTATATCCAATGATTAAATTCAAATAAAATATATGAAATAAAAGTACATGTTAAGTTGTATGATACGTGTAAGTTTGAGTTTGATTTGTATTCATTATCATCAAAAATTAGATTTAAAAAAATCTGCCACAACTTATGAGACACCCTGTATAACATCTATGGAACATATTCTTCTTCTTAGTGATTATCCAAATCTGACCTATCTGGAAATATTCATTTTCGAAGAAGAAAATGTTCATTATTTTATAGGTAACCCCTTAATCTTCCCTGAAGTAATCAAAATAGAAAAGCATTGAATTATTTTTTTTTCTTGTTTAGGGTGTGAGTGTGGGTGTGGCTTTGGTAAAAGACAAAACTCAAACCCACACTCACACCCAAAAATGTTTGTCACATTCTTTTTCCGACGCATCTACATTACCATGTACCATATACAGTTGCTGTTCTACACAAAAACAAAAATTATTTTGAACCCAAAAAATAAACGATAGCGAAAATGAATTAGATGTCTTACCTTTTTGCA